AGGGAAACAAAAAAAAAACACAACCAACAATCCAGGAGCAAGAACGTCACAGACAAAAGAAGGGCCAAGAAAATTTACTCACCCGCTCTTTACGACGTGTTTTCGGTAGGTCTCGTTCTCGATGTCCTCCACGGCCACCGGCAAGTCCTTCTCCACAACCCTGCGCTCCAACGAAACGACACAGGAGAGGGGGGAAAGAGAGGGGGGAGAGAGAGGGNGGGGGGGGGGGGGGGGGGGCGAGTTGCCCTTCTCGTCGACTCCCGTTTTGTGGTCAGCTGTTGCTTGCTCCGTAGCGGGAGCAAATGGCCGTGCGCAAAGAGGTCCCGCACGTCATCTGGCGGAAGATACCACCCCCCCTGCTCGGGTACTGCATGGCGAAGATGATGCCTACCACATCAAATGGTACGCTTTTTCGGAACCCTCTTGACGCCACGGTTTCATACGCCGCAATTTTCGGCAGAGCCACTTTTCTTGCGCAGAGTACTTGCAAATGGGCCAAGGGGTGTGCTATCTTACGTCATGCAACCTACGATACTTCGGCGGCGGCGGCACACAGCGCATCGATTGTGCGAACCATGCATGGGCATGCATGTAAGTTTGCTTGTGTCAAGTGGGGCGTGGATCGAACAAATTGCGTACTGACAATTGAGCCTCGAAATAGTCCTCGAAATTGTGCCCAGCCTCTAGCCTCACCAATCTCGCACGGAGACAATCGCAGCAAGCTATGAATAGCTCACTTTCGAACAACATACCAATTCCGAGAACTCACGCCGAACACTCCGCAGAATACTAGGACCGAAAATACCCTGTCATTGGCTAGACGGACAGTACCATGCCCTTTGCTATGCCGGGACTACCCCGCACAATCCCATTAACAGTGTCGAGAACACCTTGCCCTTTCGTAGGTCGATAGTACCCCGGCCTATTCTAGCCTAGGGCAGGAGTAGCCCCCATAAGTCTAGCCCAGGAGTTTGATGCCAACCTGCGGCGACCTGAACCCGCCAAAAAGACAGGAAAGACGCGAGCTGACATCTTTATGGCCGGGGTACATGTAGGATAGCCTAATGGACGCACCTCCATCCCATGCCTTCCAAGTGCTGCCGCCCCTCCTGACTGACGGATGGCAAGGTAAACGCTAAGGTTTCGCAACGGTAGCGGGACAACTTGCAAGCCGCTCGGATCGATTGGATGAGTACCTCCGCAGAGTCGAGCATCCTGTTTGTTGTCGATTGGGCCATTCAAACGGCTTTGGTAAGTCGGGCATCGAACGGCTTTGTTAAGTTTGCCCCTGAAGAACGAATAGCCTTGGAAAGTGTTGCCGCGGGACTGCACAGCTGCAACCAAAAGATGAAAAAACATGGTATCCACCAATGATAACAATCGCGCGGAAGGTACAAATATGCCCCTCAAGAGTCGAACATAAAACGAAACATTCGCCTCCTACCTCGTCGGGTTATTTTTGTCGTACTCGTTCTGAAAAAAAAGTCTCCAAAAATTGGGAAATGTGCTTGCTGCATTACAACTGACAAAAATGAACAAACAGATGGAGCACGAAATAGGCGAATGCGTGAGTGAGGGAGTCTATATATTGCTGTATCACTCGATAACACGCCCTTGCATACCCGGCACGCCACGGTTATTCGAGAACGTCCCAGTCCAACCTTAACCCCCCGCCCGGCCCCGGTGCTTGGTACTGTGGGCACAATGCCCTGTCCCGTCGAGGACGCGCGGCCAATGGTCGAACCGCTACGGCATGCATGAGTGTACCCCCCCCCCCCCCCCCCCCCCCCCCCCCCCCCCCCCCCCCCCCCCCCCCCCCC